ATACTCTGTCGATAATAATAAAGTGACTGTAATTGGTGTTATGAGTTGCCAAGTAAAATATAGATTGACTTCTGACCGTTCTCTTAAGAACATGGAAATTCAATTTACTGAGCAAATAAGGGCAATTTATATGGTAGTTAATTAATTTAAATAAAAATATCTTCTAATTACTAAAGTTAAAATTATAATTCTAATTTCTAGTCTGTTTTCTCGTAAGTTAGTCATATACAATTTTAGCCCTTTAGGCCATTTCTGACCATTCTTTTGCATGTTCGGTTCGGTGCTCTTTAAGAATTTAGGTAACATTAATCCCATCGAAGAGTTATTCAATGACAGTAATCACTCACCATATGAAGATCATGATTCGGATTTTGATCCGGGAGAAGCTATGCCCGATGTCAAATGTCAAGTAATGCGAAGATCCGAAAGACAAGCAAAGCCCAAGACTTACCAAGACTGATAATTTTTATACGTACCTTGTTGACGGAGCCGAATCAGTTCATCAGAGAGAACCGTTATCTGCTACAGAAGCCTTAGAAAGACCTGAATGTGCATAATGACAGTACGCAATGGATAAAGAGTTGGATTAATTGCCTGAAAATGACAGTGTAGTGAATTGCCACATGACAAGAAAGTATTAAACCTCAAGGGGGTAATCAAAAATAAATTAAGTAAGAATGGAACAATGCAAAGATACAAAGCCCGCCTGGTAATAAAAGGATGTGCTCAGAGAAAAGGTACAGACTATACAGAGAACTTCGCCCCCGTAATGAGAATGAGCTCTTTCCGTCTTTTGTTGGCGACTGCTGTCAAGTATAATCTTGATTCTGACCATATGGATGCTGTTACAGCATTCTTGCAAGACCTTGAAGAATATAGTATGTATGTGAAAATCCAACCGAGACCAGTGTATTTGCTACAAGATTCAGGTTAACGCAGTGCTAATTGTAGCAATTTATGTGGACGACATATTGATATTTTATACCAATTGAAGATAAAAAGAGAAGATAAAGGCAAATCTTGTGGGGGAATTTCGGATGAAAGATTTTGGAGAAATTAGTGAAGGCTACACTAATTGCATTGAAATTGCACGTGATTGCAGGCTCGGAATTATCAATGAATCAAGCAAAGTATTGCCAGGATATTCTCTGCAGATTCCAGATGCTAAAGTGTAATCCTTCAAAGACTCCCCTGGATTTAGGAAGACATCTTGATCTGACGGTGGATGCGCCCTTGACTGAAGAGGAACGAAGAAATATTTATTCTATATCAAGAAGCAGTTCGTTCACTAATGTACCTTTGTCAGAGCACAAGCCCTGATTTGGCTTTTCCTTTGAGTTTTCTGAGTAGACATAACTCTTGTTTTCAGAGAGTACACTGGAATGCTGTAAAGAGTTTTCCGTTATATGAAAGGAACTATGCACACTGCTTTGAGGTACAGTCGTGACCCCAATGGAAGGTGGGAGGGTTACTGCGATGCTGATTGGGCGAACAGTTTGAGCGATAGAAAATCCACAAGTGGAAATGCGTTTGTCTTCCAGGGAGGTGCCATTAGCGGGAGTTCAAAGAAGCAAGCAACAGTGGCACTTTCAACAACTGAAACTGAGTATATGTCACTGGCGTTGGCAACACATGAGGCCATTTGGTTAAGAGACATTTTGGGGGAAGTCTATTTAATTGACAAGCAGCGCACAGTAACTATTTACTGCAATAATAAGAGCGCAGTTGATTTGCTGCACACAGGAAATTACAACCAAAGAACGAGCTTATCGACATAAGACACCATTTCGTTACAGAAACGGTTGCTGAAGGAGTCATACAAGTAAAGCATATTTCTTCAACGGAAATGATTGCCGACGTTATGACAAAGCCGTTGCCAGAATCCGGACTTAACTCGTGTAATAGCTTTGCGCATTGGCATTATCGTAACCAATGGGGTCTATCCGAGGTGCGATTATTGCTGGAAGACGATAATTAGTGAGATATTAAATAAACTAAATTGGTTAAAGTCGGTACCCCCCTCCGCGTGGGCTTCTGGCGGGCAACGACGGGCAGGCAATCAGTCGAAGTTTGGGTCTTACACTCGCAATAAGCTCCTGTCTACGGCTAAGAGGTGTAAAGAGGGGTTTGGTACCCCCTCTGGTGGTCGGAGGAATTCGGCCAAAGCTCCTGGCTTGCTGTGAGCGTCGGCATGACCTCGGACTCGGAGTCTGAGATGGAGTTAGAGGAGATAGGAGGTAGGAGTAGCAAGAGAGGTAGGTATGAGTCTACACATGAGGAAGAAATGGCTGGAGTCATGGAAGACAGAGTTGAGATGCTGATGGCAGTGACTGAAGCAATTCATGAGTTGGTTCCAAAAACAAGTAAAGATATCAAGAAAAGCCTATCAAAGTATGTAAACACACTAAGAGAAATAACGGGTGGAATCAAGAGCTCCATATATCAGGCTTTACAACACAATAACAGGCAAATGAATGAAATCAAAGAGATGATCAAAGCACAGAATAACAAAATTGACATAATACAAAAAGAGCAAAAACGGCCTATGACATACGCTGGAGCAACGGCATCGACAGGCAGCTCGGTGAGAGTTGCTGGAATCAAGAAGCCAATTGCAACAGAAAAAGTATGCAAGGTGCAACTTTCCTTGGAGGACGAAAGGATCCCTGGAGAGGAATTAAAAAGAATGATCATGTCTAAGTTAAAGCCTAAAGAGGCGGGGTTCAAACCCAATAGGATTTACTCAACTAAGGACAACAAAGTAATTATCGAATCGTCTGAGGACTGCTTGGATAAGATCAAGAATGCAAAGGCCATCAGGCAAATGAATGTAAAGGTAAGAAACTTGGACAAGTTTTACCCAAGGATTGTAGTTTATAATGCCCCTTCAGACACAAGGGCTGAAAATATTGCCAATGAAATAATTAAGCAAAATGACCTACAAGGAGTAGGTAATATACAGATAAGGCCAGTTTACAAATTCGGACCAAAAAATAAACAATTCAACCATTGGACATTAGAAGTAAATGCACATACCAGAAACATTCTGCTCCAAAAGAAAACAATTCATTTGGACTGGCACTCTTGCTAAGTGGAGGATAAAATTTACATCACGCAGTGTTACAACTGCCAGGGCTATGGACATATAGCGCCTAAATGCACCAATAAGATCGCATGCGGATACTGCTCCGCTGAGCACGACACTAGGTCATGCCCAAACAAAGAACATAGTGAGAAGCACAAGTGCATATTATGTGTAAAAGCAAGGATCGAGGATACCAAACATCGGCCTCGAGATGGGAAATGTCTTGCTTACAAAAGGCGTATGGAAAAGTACGGTTCTAATATAGAATTTGAAACCAATGTCAACTAAGTGCATCAAAGTCGGCCAGCAAAACTTACACCATGACTCTAACGCAACAAATGGCATACTGGCTGATGCTATCAAAATGGGCCTGGATGTACTACTGATCCAAGAACCATATTGTCATAAACTAAATGACAGATACAATGTCCCAATGGCAGCTGGTTCATTTGAGTTAATTGCAGCTCAAGACAGCAAATTCAAGTCGTGCATAATAGTCTTGAATCAAAAGATTAAGATCCTTAAACTAACGCAATACTCTGACAAACACGCCGCCGTCGCTCTTGTTGCCATAGGCAACACTCAATTCTACATAGGCTCGTTCTATTGGCCGCCTAAGAGAGATGACATTGTTGAAAAACACTTCAAATACATCGAACAACTAAGATGTGGCAGCCAACATCCTATGGTTTACGCCATAGACTGCAACGCTCATCATGAAGCTTGGTTCTCCAATAACACAGACGATCGAGGAGAAAATATCATTGCCTTCCTTACTAAGGAAGGCTTTTTTATCCCTAACAAAATTAGCAACTACACCACTTTTGATGGAGCAAGGGGCAGTTCCAACATAGATATAACTATACCCACACAGGCTGCATACAACCAAATCACTAATTGGGTGGTCCATAGCTTGACTGCAAGCGATCATCGATTGATAACATTCGAGTACAATCTCGAAAGGCAACAAGAAGACGGCACACAATACAGGTAAGTCAAGAATCAAATTCATGCTACTAAAGCACTGGACATGGCAATTCAGCTTATAATCAACATTGAGCAAACAATAATCTGGCAGCCATCCATTAAGAACATTGATCTTAGAGTCCAAGCACTAACAGAAGGACTGAAATTTGTGGCCGAAAAAACAATTCCATTAAGAAGGATATATCCGAACAAACCCACGTGGTGGAATGAAAGGGCCGAACAACTAAAAAGGCAAATCTACATCAGCCGACGTAATGTCCAACGAGAGAAGAGAGCAGAAGAAAGGAAAAAGTTGTTTGAGAAATATCACACAGATGCCACAAAATTCAGAGACTATGTCTCACGCACGGCAAACAGGTTTTGGGATGAATTCGTAGACACAGAAATGATCAAAGACCCATGGAGTCTACCATATAAACCTGCAGCACAAAAGGCACGAAAGAGGCCCAACATAGCACAATCTCTCTATACCAAGAGTGGCGAGGCAACTATAGGCTTTAGTGACACGGCTGATGAAATGATTAACACTTTTATACATAAGGATGACGCGCTCGGCGAGTCGATCCAGCACGCTCTTTTAAGGGATCAGGCCAATATCTATTACAGCAATAAGAACATTAT